ACAGAGTGGGTTGACTTTAAGCGAAATACAGGAGAAAGGATTAGGAACACTGAATTTTCAATTTTAAGTACGTCAAATGAAGTCAATTTATACAAAAGATAGATAATATAACTCCGAATTTCCTTGTGCGAATTGAACAACGATCACGATCGCCTGTTATCAGACAGAGTTGAATCCTCTCTGCTACGGAACTAGACAATCATCTACTGGTTAAAAGGATTTCAAGCAATGGTGTAATCAGTTTCACTTTCCCCCATACATAACAGATTCAAATATAAGGAATAAAAATCAATAACGTAGGCTAAAACACAATGTTTTCATATAATTAATCAATGACTAAATACAACCTGAATAGCTGTTGAATAGCCAAAAACTTTGGATTTGAACTAAATTTTTGGTGTCAAACAATCGGGTGGTACAAACGGTTAAGAAGTAATATTGATTTCATTCGGGGATAAATACTAAAAATTGAATAAAATGTATTAAGATGGGGGTTTTGGACACACAATGAAGTAATTATCACTTCGGATATACAGTTATCATTTAGACCTTTTTATGGCTACAAATGTTCTCCCAGTTGGTTCAATAAAGCAACTTTGTACAAATAAATACTAAGTGGGGGTATTAAACAAAAAAAATTCGTAAGGGTTCCGCGGAACCCAGTGTCTCGCCTACTTTTTCTGTTAATCGCAGGCTCAACAAAAATGAGGAAGGAAATCAATAAAAATATTCCTCTTGATACTATCTTTTAACTTTAACTGTAGACTGAATGTAATGTTAACTGGAAAAAAACAAAATTTCCTTCTAGATACTAGCATTTGATCATAAACAAGCTTCTGTCCAAGTTTGGTACAAATCCAAAATAGTTTAAGAAAGTTATTAAAATTTTAAAAACTTTAACCACAGAGTGAATGTAATATTTCCCAGCAGAAAAACTAAGTCCATTTATAAGTAAAATACGGAAAAAATGGAATTTTATTTTTACAAAATTTACTTCTGGATACTATCTTATGATTATAAACAAGCTTCTGTCCAAGTTTGGTAGAAATCCAGGATAGTTTAAGAAAGTTATTAAAATTTCAAAAACTTTAACCACAGAGTGAATATTTGTGGACGCCGCCGACGACAACGACGACGACGACGACGACGACGACGACGACGACGACGGAATGTAGGATCGCTATGTCTCGCTTTTTCGACTAAAGTCGAAGGCTCGACAAAAATGATGTCAGACAAACATTCACGAACTGATAATTTTCGTTGTCAATAACATGATTGACATCATGTACTGTTATAGTTTAGAATGTCTCAGAAAAATGAATTTCTTAAGAAAAAAAACCTTGTTACAAAAGATTACTTTTATCTATAACTATAAATTGCGCCAAAAGCATTCAAGCTTACGTCATCACACAGTAAATACTTTAACATAGAGGAAACGAATGTTTTTTTTCTAACAATGGATTTTTACTAATCTAAAAAAAATAATTAGTGTTCTTCAAAAACATTTTTCTTTCAGATCGAGAATTCATATTTCAGAGATATTATTGATTTAATACACATTTTTGAACTAAAAAAAAAATATGAAAAATTATAATTATTTTCATAGAAAAAAAATAAGAGAAAATACATCTCAATAAATCTTTTAAATATGCATCATTAACAGTTTTTAAGCAAAAAGGAAACTATTATTAGCCATGTAAATAGATTTATTATTCGGAAAATTTTCATGATAGCGTTATCATTGTTCAATTTCAAAGCCCAAAACCTAATATAAACGTCAGAGAGCTGATACAATGAAAAAGGACCAAAAGTAAAGCCAAACCTAGACAATACTCATTTAAAAAAGACCATTTAGATGCGTATATGCTCACTTTGAAAATGTATTTATCGTTAATGGTGCTAGAAAATACAGCAGTTTCAAAACAGGAAGAGTAATAAATCCAAAAATAAAATCAAACCAAGGGTAAACACATCTTTTCATTCGTATATGATATTCTATCGTGTATGTTAGTTGTCATAGACCAACGATAACGAGATGTGGTGTGTGTGTGGTGTGTATGGAAATAGGTATTCACTTTTTTTTCATAAACAACAATCCTAGAATTGCAAGCGAATCAGGGAACATATATGTTTTGTCAAGAACATGAAAATAAAAAGAAAATGCATTTCAAATTTAATTCACTTTAAATTGTTTTAACATGGTTATATATAGACTATCGAGTGTGTTACGTTATTTCTACTCTAGAGACAGTTAATTTTAAAAATCTAACGTGAGGCTTATTGAGCGCTTTAAATTTTTTTTTTAAAATGAGACGAAATTGCTGGACGTTTTGATCGACAATAAATCAGTTGAGTTTGTGTATTGATTTTCAACAGTATGTCGTCGGTACTCCAATGGGTATTAATTGTGCATTCCTAAAGCACCTGAGATCACCCCCAGTTTTTGGTGGGGTTCGTGTTGCTTAGACTTTAGTTTTCTATGTTGTGTCATCTGTACTATTATTTGTCTGTTTGTCTTTTTATTTTGGCCATGGCGTTGTCAGTTTGTTTTCGATCTATGAGTTTGAATGTCCCTCATATTTGTACGCATATGCTACATCACGAATTGGTTGACTGATACGATGCGTCTGTGTCTCAATTCTCTGGTGACATGATTTCGATGTGTTATATCTTTGGGTACCAGTTTAGTCGTCTGATGTTTTATATCTTTGGGTACCAGTTTAACCGTCTGATGTGTAACTATTCCAATTGTTTCCTTTTCCCTATTGTGATATTTTGACTGACTTTGGTTTCGCATAGAAGGAGACGCTTAACCTGTCTATGCACCCTGTCTCGCTCCTTTTGGAGTTCATGCGAATCCCTCAGTTTTGTTTTGTTCCCTTGGTGTATATCTTCATAATTGATTTACGGAATTGACTATTGGTAAACCACTGATGCCTAAATTTAAAACAGTAATCTACCCGAATTATTTAATCTATAAATACGTTATTTCCTGCAAAGTTATCTAACATATATCTCGATGTGCCCCGTGGTTTTCTTAATGTTTGTACTGTTTTTGCACGCTTAAGTGTGATTGTCGGGCTAAATTATGACAAAAATTGTTTGATTTCTTTGCCAGATTTACTTTAATGATATTACTCCATCGCTTTGTTTTTAAATTCAGTTGTGGTGTGATGGTCAAATTGCAAATAATTCCGATCAAGTCGTTGCTAAGGGCCGTCTTAAACTTGCAGTGAAGTGAGAGTTATGTTCCGTGTTGAATGCCTCATTGTGACTTTGAGATGAAGAACAGCAAAGAAAGCGCTGTAACTTTGCTTTTTGTGTTTTTGCTCTGCATGTATTGATTTTGAGTCATGGATGGAATCCCTATATCCATTCACACGACGCATGCATCAAATTAAACGTCCTCAACTTGACCGATGAAATCAGCACCTCGAAGCTCCTGTTATTACACAGTTAACACATTTTGTTTCTTTGAATTGTGTATTATTCTGTCATGACAAAAAAAAAACATGTCTCTACACTTCCAGCCAATAACCGGAGATTATTTGTCAAACTTCATGTTCTCGTCAGATCTAGATATATAGAACTAAATCTACGTTTACAAGGTACGATTTTTCATCCGATTTAATATCGCCACCAATATAAATGTGTTCACTATTGTCTCTTAATGTTTTCAAACCTTTTTTTTTTAATTCAGTTTCACTTCATATTCATTTTATATCACCTATGTCATGTTAATCGTTTCGATATTGCCTGTTGGTGTTGTTTGGTAAATCAACGAATTAATTATCCAACCCAGTTAAGTTCATTTCGACTAGTACACGTGGTTAGTTCATTCATTTCATATCCCTTCGGCTTCCACTTTAAACATTACACTTTAAATGAACTATGATCATGATTGATCTATTATAGAGTCAAGATCACAGAAGTCTTATTTCAAGTGTTCTGCCCCTAGGTATAATTTTATTAGACTTCATTATTTCGTAAAAAAAAATATGATAAGGGACAGTTTGTCCTTAAGTTACAACAATTATTTACTTGATTCAGAGACAATTTACCTTAAAATTATATAAAACTACCTTTGATGTGATTCAAATTGAAAGAAAATTATAGTTAAGAAAAATGAAATAGTCCGCGTGTACTTTTCTAAACTGTTTCGTGGTCTATTTTTACTGCATCATAAATGATCAAAGATTAATTTTTACGAGAAACATTACAGATTCGCTGCTGTAAAATATTTTGAAGCTATTCAAAAGTCTGCGGCGTCTGTATCTCCTAAAAGTAACTCTTTGTGTTAATGCAAGGTTGAATTAAAATCAGCTTCACAAGAATGTATTCCAGCAAACCATGCAATATAGTTTCATTAGAATTCATAACACATCTTTAAGTTGTAAAATGTTCCCACGACAGGAGGCGGGAAAAAAAACCCATCACCACAAAAAGGAAAATTGATGATTTCAAAGTTGAAAGGAACACTTTTGTCCGAAAATTAGTATCAGTTATAACATTTTGTATTACGAAAATTTATATGTCTATTAAAACGGAAAATATGGACTGTTATTATTAGCGCATTAAGCTGGAATTTTCTTTTGGTAAATTTATACACAATACTTAAGCTTGATATCATCTGACAAGGAAGAAATCACTTAATACTAAAAAAAAAAATGGGTTTTTTTCAAAATTTGTTTAAAAGAATATTAAAGACATACGTTATACCTATGCACATTGGACAATATATATATTGCATAACACATCCACATTGAAATTAATCAACAATTTTAAACACATAACATTGTATACACGTACAATGTACATGCGTCAAAAGCACCGTCCGATATTGTTGGCGTTTCCTCGTCGTAAAACCAGAAACGGACGGTAATTATGGAAAATTGACCATATGGATAATGATAACATTATTTCAAACTAAATATATCTGAAGTTTAATTATATATACCTGAAATAATTTTTGGGGCTATAAGATATTGAAAAATATAAACCTGTTTGGATTTATTAGAGATCTTCTTTGTTCAGCATATTCTTTACTTAATAATTGTGAGATTGGGACGTCAACCACACTTGCATCAGCACAGTACCATGTTGTGTCAGCAAATCCCAATTTAATAGCTTCAATCACATGATGTAAATATTGAGTAGAGTTCACTCCCATCTCTGAATAATATTAAAACACAAAAAGTAAAAAATCTAGCATTTCAGTAATAATTATTTAAGTCAATTTTAAACATTACTACACAAAATTCTGACCAAGAAAATCATTAAAATTTCCACATTGTATTTCTTCAAAATCTTTATTTAATTATGAAATTTTCACACTGACGATCTTCGTAAATTGTGTTGTATATTCAATTACCTTTTTGTAATGGAATCCCGCTCAAAGCATGTTTTTTTTCGGATAGTTGAGTGATTTATGTATTACTAATAGATGAAAGTCAACATAACTATCCATGATTAGCAATACATACATGTAGCATAGAGTGGGGCAAAGTTTAATAAATTAAGATGATATTCTAACATTCTGATATTCTGACGCCACAATGACGTCGTAATGCGCATGGTATCTCGCTAATTTGAATGAGAATTCTAGTCACTTCGGCACCTGGTTAAACTGGCACCCAGTATAGTCAATTTGGCACCTAGGCAAATAGGGATCTGGTTAATTCGACACCCAAGGTAGTTATTTCGACACCCATGATTATTATTATGCTTTGCAAGTAAACTTTTGAAGAATCCGGTTTTTTTTTGCATATTTTTTAAGATATTTTCGCTGAAGGTGTCAACGTATATTTGAGACGCATAACAGAAGTTCCAATGGAAACTTTGTTATAAAAAATGCCATACTATCTGTTCCTACTGGAACGCATATTATCAAGGAACTTCCATTTCATGACAACTGTACATTGCTAGTAAACATACAAAATTGGTGCCATGCAGCGTCATTAATTTTATATAAGTAGACAGGAAATGCAGAAAAACAATTTAAATTACAATGATTAAATCTGTTTTATCCTCATAAAATTATGGTGATTAAACAATAGCTTGGGTAATGGCTTCTTTGTTTAATTTAAGTCATTTAAATTATAAAACATGAAAAACTACATGAAAATGTTTAAAACAACAAGCGGGTTATTATTTATAATTAATACCATATTTTTTTTAAATGATACCCAATTAAACTTAATTAATAAAATATGAGAAAACTTCAAACAGGAAATAACTGATTATTTTTTATTGTGTATTCTAACTGCTTAATTACATGCGCTGACTTTTTTAACGATGTAGGAAATGTATCTTGTTTTATTAACCTCTGCAATTGTACGTTATGCAAAAAAAAAAAATATATAAAAAGACCGAAAAACTATTCTCCCCATACCCCAAATAAAAAGGAAAAAAAAGGTAAAAAATATATTTGATGCCAAATTCACTAACCAAATGCCGAAATAACTTTAAATAGGTGCCGATTTTACTGGATGCGGATTTGACCAGGTGCCGATTTGACCTTATCTATAGGTGCTGAATTAACCAGGTGCCGATTTGACTTGTACCCTTTGAGTGAATGTGTAAAATGAATTGTAAAAATAAGACTTTTTTTGTATAATTTATCTAATTTGGTGTTATTATTAGCTTTTCCAGAGGCTCTAAAAGCATGAAAAGCACCCCTGGAAAGTTTACACTTTAATTGCTCGCGAAGGAAAAAACTTCTGAAGATGGTTTTGTTTTCGTTAGTCCCTTTAAGGATGTAGTTAGGTGAAATTAAAAAAAAATCTAGAATTTAGAATTGATACTATAAGTCAGAAGAGCATTAGAAAAGGAACAAAATAAGCTAAACATATTGATAGGTTATGGAACTCCTTTTTGAGATATTTGATTTTTAAAAAATGGCGGGAAAAGGATGACTCAGACTTTTACCTTATATTTAGCATTGGCAAAATTTGGGTCTCAAATCTTAAGAAAAGAAATCTAGAATCTGCTGTAATTTTGGTAATTAAGTTTTTGTGAGCTATGAAGTCATCTATGAAAAGAAAAGTGGGTGATATGGGGCAAAATATTTTACCCTGTATCGTAGGAAAAAACCAAAGGAGTCTGAACATCTGACAAAAATCCCTAAACCTGACCTGACTACATCCTTAAGTTTCAAAACTGTTTGCTTCTCAGTTGAGAAAACCTTTGAAAAGGCAATCAGAATAAAAAATGTCCTGTGGCGACGATTAAAAGCAAATGAAGACCATTCGTATCTAAGCTTTGTTTCTACAAATAGATATAAGAAGATGTGGTATGAGTGCCAATGAGACAACTCTCCATCCAAGTCAAAATTTATAAAAGTAAACCATTATAGGTCAAAGTACGGTCTTCAACACGGAGCCTTGGCTCACACCGAACAGCAAGGTATAAAGGGCCCCAAAAATTACTAGTGTAAAACCATTCAAACGGGAAAACCAACGGTCTAATCTATATAAAAAACGAGAAACGAGAAACACTTATGAACCACATCAACAAACGACAGCTACTGAACATCAGATTCCTGACTTAGGACAGGTGCAAACAATTACAGCGGGTTTAAACGTTTTAATGGTACCAAACCTTCACCCTTATCTGAAACAATAGTGTAACATCACAACATAGAAAGACACACCATAACATATCAATTGAAATGGCTTAACTCAATCAAAAGACATATTAACACCAGTGAACATACCCTGAACAAATAAATTTTATCTATGATACAATGTAAATACAAAATAAATAAACTAAGGGAAGAATAATTAAAGTAACATGTTATACCGCTGTGAAATGTTAATACAAAGTCTTTTTACAACCAGTTTAAGTATATCCAGAGAAGATAGACATGGAATTTTCTAAAGTGATTCAACTTGCCACCATTGCAGCCATATTTTTAACTTGATCAAAATCGGATTTTATTCGAATCGAATTGTTGATGTAGTTTGTTGGTGGGTTAAAATAAACTCATCATAGATACCAGGATTACAATTTTGTCAGCCAGACGCGCGATTCGTCCACACAAGACTAATCAGTGACGCTCGAATAAAAAAATTGAAAAGGCAAAATAAAGTACGAAGTTGAAGAGCATTGAAGATAAATAGTCCGAAAGGTTTTGTAAATACAGCTAAGGTAGTCTTTTCTTAACGTAAGCTTCATATTATCATCATAAGAAAACTATACAAAAGAAAAAATATAAACCTCATTATGTTAGTCAATTTTACAGACATTGATTCAGTTAATGACATTAAACAGAACTGTCAATATATTTACAGTGAGAAAGTGGGAAAGACAGCGTCTGTGAGATATGTTTTTGACGTCATAGACTTGTCTTGCATGTATTTACTGCTTAGTACTTTATTCGGTCGAAACGACTTTCATGCAAATGTTACTATGAACATTTGCACCAAAATTGATAGCAGTCGCCTACAGTGGTTGAAGTTCCAGAGTTTTCGAAAAGTGATTGTCCGAAGGTTTTGACCACAAAAAATTGCAAAGGACCGACACAATTTTGGAATTTTGCAATAGAAATAATAGTGAGGACCAGCAGATTTTCTTCAAGGACAAACAGGGAAAAAAAGATTTCGAGAATTCTGGGCCCTGGTTCATGTGAAGATACGACAAACAATAAATATAGCAACACTCAAATAATAAGTTTAAAAATAGAATATAAGATAATTATCCAAATCCATTTTATTATTCCCTTTTCGCTCTAGATAAACTTACCCTTAAGATCAATGCTCTCTAACAAATTTAATGCAATAAGCGCACACATTCCCTGTCCATTAGGAGGGATTTCCCATACCCTGTATCCTTTGTAAGATACACTTATCGGATCTTCAAAAGTTGACACGTGGTTCTTCAGATCATCTTTATTCATAACTCCGCCATGTTCCTGTACGATGCTTGATATTGAACTACCTATTCTTCCATCATAAAACCCTTTCTTCCCATGCGTACCTACTTCCTGTAAAAAGACATCTCAAAATAGTCTGCTGATAGTTTTTAGAGAAATATTTATAAAACAAAGTTTATACTAAAAATGGATTTTGTGGTACATCAAATACATATGCTGCGTATAGAAATATCATTACCAATTGACACCTGTTCATGACATCGTATTACCCAAAACAAGTCAATAATGTTGACAAAAATGTGCAGAAGGGGGGTAAAACTACTGTAATTCAACCCATTGGTAAGACCATTGTAACAAAAAAATGTATATGTTTATTTTGTATTTCATGACAATTCATACGTGTATGACTACGTGAGTTAAGAAACTTAATTGTGTTCTCTGTAAAATTCCAATATTCGATTCATGAGCCTAAGCAGACATACTTTGATTTTATATCTTAAGTTGAAGAAACATTGAACACAACTATTAAAAAAACACTACACAAAAAAAACTAAAGATTGAGTAACAGGAGACCCACCATAATCCGGGGTGAAAACATGATGTTGAATCATCCGAAAGAAAAGCAGGTATTCGTTCTCGAACTTAGCCCGGTTGCATATAAACTGTTATTACATACAAGTACATTGCTGTACAATTGAAACAAAAGTTATGCAAAATTGGTAAACATATATTTTAAAAACATAAGATTTACTAAATAGTCAATTTTAATGATAAATACCCGAAAAGTTTTTGCTAAATGCGGTAAACGTATCACTTCTCCCGTCATTGGTGCTCTCCCTTGTATTAACATGTCTTTTCCATGTTTATTTTTACTGTTGGTGAGCAGATGTGATCCTAAAAGAATACAATTTCATAAGACGTTAGTCCCAGAAAAAAGAGAACAAGCACGTGGGAAAGCTTTATTGTGTCAGGAAAATCAAAAGCAGGAAAGCAGCCATTTTATTGTTGTCATTATCATGAATATTCCTTCAAGGTCTTCCGTTTATGAACGAGATGTTTAAACTAACGTTCTATACAGTGCTTCGGCATGATTTATAATAACTGTTTTGTTTCCTGTTGATAAACTAAGAAATTATTAAGAACTAAGGTTCCAACTCCCTCAGGCAAGGTTGACCTTAGATGAATTTAATTATTCTTGTTTAGGTCCCTTTTGATCATATGGCTTCTAACGTTTTTACGTATTTTTACATCCTTTCCTATCAATTTTTTTGGTTTGAACATTTTTAGTGAAGGTTAATCCAGAAAAGCGCTTCGGACGAAATAGATTTATAAATTGTTTTTTTCTTCTTTTACTGTTGATGCAATCTTCATAAGTATGATGAATACCATGTGGCGATAGGTACAAAATTGGCGGTAGATACAAAGAAGGCATTCGACACTCATAGGTCGAAGAGAGACCGACAATGCCATGACCGATCAAGTCATCATGACACATTATGACTGAGCAACAAGAAACAAGCTCCAATATTGTTTTTATTGGTATTAATATTGATTTTGTCATCAGTAAATTAAAATCAAAATAAATATTATTTTTATATACATATGCACATTCATGGCTATACAATCTGTCGATACCTGTATCTTGGCATTGCATAAGGTCATGTTTTTCTGTGACTGTTAATGACGTCTTTACACTAACTCCATTAAATGTTGGATGTGTACTGATTGATAGTTTAGTCTTAGATGCATGATTTTTTTTATTAGTTGTTATTGGTTTTGAACTAGCTGTCAGTAACTGCGAGTACTCTCAGATCTGTACTTGGTGTCTTTTTGTTGTGGGGATGTATAAGTACTCTGCCACGTCCAGTCTGTGTTTTTGTTAGATGTATTTCTATTTGTATCCATCTGATGAGTTAAGTCTTTTTCAACTGATTTTTAAAGTTTTTTCTTATGTTGTACTGTCACACCACTGTCCCAGCTTAGGGGAGGGTTGGTGACTTCAAACCAGTTTAACCCCGCCACATTCTGTATGTGCCTGTCCCAAGTCGAGCCTGTAATTCAGTGGTTGTCATTTGTTGCTGTGTAAAATATTAGTTTTTCGTTAATTATTTTGTACATAAATTAGGCCGTTGGTTTTCTCGTTTGAATTGTTTTACATTTGTCATTTGTTTATTTTTATATTTAAGTCGGGGATATCAGTCGTCCCGGAAGGGTAAGCTTTCATGAAAATTTTTGAAGTATTTACGACGACTATAATGTGGTATATCCTTTGAAAATCTCTGCGACTATCAACTGTTGAGGTGATAACTTTGCAGTATCAAAATAAATGATGGCACCGTTAACAGTTTTTTTTGTCGAAAAGGTTAACGAATGTTTCAAATGTCGAGAATTTTAAAAGTATAAACAAACTTTTATATTTGTTCACACTGTAACAAGTTTAATCAACGCCATTCCCAGTCACATGTAACAAGTCTAATCAACGCCATTCCCGTCACATGTAACAAGTTTAATCAACGCCTTTCCCGTCACAACAATGTAGATCACATTTAAGGTTTATGAATATTTTTTTTTCCATTTTGACAAGACGAAATATTTAAGATTTATTTCATACAGTTTTTAATATGTACTACTGCTGAAAATAACAGAAAACTTACAGAAAAAGAACATTCTTAATCTCAAAATAACTTTACCTTTTTCCCAAAAGTAAGATGTTGTCTGTTGGACAGGAAATCCTACCTCAGCAAGTTCAGCAGCAGGCTTTAGTATTTCTGACATTGATAACTGTCAAATGTAATAAAAGCATTAGAAGGTTTGGAAAGAAATGAATGTTTAACATCTTTTGATAAAAACTGCACAATTGATTATTAGTGAATGAAAAAAAAGACTGAGAAAAATAAATGATTATAAACAGCAGTAACAATATAGACGTTCTTATCGTTGTAAAATGAAATACGACCGTGCTTAATGCTTTTATCATTTGATGTTACCACCTCCGATATGTAAAAACTACTGTCTATACCCGTAAAAACAAAAAGAAACTTACAGAAAACAACCAAAAGAGAAACAATCATATGTAAAGTAATACAATGCATTTTTGTCGTAGTGTTCAAAGTCGCGTGTGAAAAGCAACGGAAAACATGGTAATAATCCCTTTCCATCCATCCCTAGAAGTATTCTGGTCACGTACAATATGTACATCTTGTTGGATGTTGAACGTACGAAGGGATTTAATTTACCTCAATTGTGAGACAACAAACCCCTGTTTTAGTCATCAGTTAAACCTGGTCCAAAAGGACTTGGTAATGTGAACAAGCTCTCTAGTAATGATTGATTGATAGTTGGTGTTTAACACCACTTTCAGCATTATAGGCTATATCGTAGCGGTAAGTTTTTATTGGTGGCATGGAGAATGCCGGAGTGCCAAGAGAGAACTCTCGACCTTCGACCGAAAAAACTGAAATCCTAGTCAATAAAGATTGGAGTCGAACGTACCGCTAAGAGCAGGGTTCGAACTCACAACCTTGGTGAATGATGGTAGATGAACTACTTTTTCTCTTAGACCACTTGGCCACCGAGGCCCCCTCTCTAGTAACGTGTGAGTTGAGAGGTGTAAACTCCATACGCAGGTACTGCTTGAATATTGCTAGATAGTAACGGGAATTTGGTTCAAAATTGTTTAAATCCATTAAGTAACTCGCAATTCACCAGGGTACCATGAATCAAAGCATTCCCACGCAACTAATAACTGCGATGTGACCTCGTCTTTTGACCTTTAAAATCAATAGGGTAATGGCTATATTGAATGTATACATCAAGTATGGTGAAGATCGGTTGAGAAAAACAAGCTCTACAGTGTTCACAAGTGTGTTACGAACGGACAGAAAGTCGCCGTACAAAATCCTTTTCCTTATTTTGTTGCCAGGAGATTATAAAATGTAACAAGCCATTCCAACAATGAGTTAATCGCTACTGGTAGTTGATAGTCATATAATTGCAGAAAGAAAAAAAAAAACGAATTCGGATGTGTATTAATCACAGTTTGTATTTTTATTTGAAGATTTATACAATGCAACCTAAATAGTCGTATACACACATTTAATATGTATTATATGAAAGAGAAAACCAGAAAAATCGATTTATACAATGCAACCTAAATAGTCGTATACACACATTTAATATGTATCATATGAAAGAGAAAACCAGAAAAATCCACAAATAACCGTTTGAGATACAAAATGTGCATCCAATTAGCAGTTTACCAAAAGAACATTCAATTTGATGTACATCACATGTGCATCTAAACAACTATGTATCAAGATCACTTACATAAAGTAGTCATGGTCATTAAACTTTAAAACACTTTTACAAGAAGCTTATCTAGTTGCCAATAAGATTCGTCAATGATGGACCCCTGGATGTGTCATTGTATATGTCTCCATGTAATATGATGCTAAAACAGATGATATTGGGTACTCTCGAATACACCTAACCATGACCTAAATGGTAAAAGTTCACGTGACTCTATTTCTATAAACGTGTTACCTTTGCTTTGGGCTAACATATTACACTATTAATAAGTTAAACAGCATGAACTTTAATATCATAGATCTCAAATCAATTTCTTGACATCAACACATTGTTTATTATTATTTTGTAGCCTTAAACATTATGGCGTATGTACAGTTGACCTTTTTAAATGGCGAATATAATTATCCCTACGACACATTAAAAAAACAAACTTGCCGGTCCTCTATGCACAGTATTAAAATTGTGAACACACTAACCTGAACAGGTATGATGAATACCTTTCAGATTTTGCAATAATGTACAAGATTTTAAAGATAATACAGTAATTTTTCTGGTTTTTCTCAGGAGTTAAGTAGCGTACATACATTATAAACCATGTTCATTTTATTGTGTGCGAGTAAAATACTAAACGATAATATTTCATGTTAAATATCCTTTGAATATTTTAAACAGATTCCGCGAAACAAATACTCTTCAAGTGTAGATAAATTCATAAACAATGCCTGCATCCGGAAAATATAAACTACAAATGTGTAAAAGAACACTTTATTTAAACATAATATTAGGAATAACATTTCAACTGAAAAAATGGTATGATTCCGATGTATCGACTTTAAATGTGATATCCTTAATGTTGTATACGTAAGTGTTGACTACTTTTTTCAAAACTTAATACAAGGCGGTTGGCTACTGGGGTAGTGAATTTAACGGTAAATATCGGACCGTCCAATGAGAAAGCTACTGAGGTAGTGATACTAACGGGAACTGTTGGACCGTCCAATGAGAAAGCTACTGAGGTAGTAATACTAACAGTAACTGTTGGACCGTCCTTTGAGAAAGCTACTGGGTGGTAATACTAACGGTGACTGTTGGACCGTTCAATGACAAAGCCAATTGTCACGAAAATGTCAAATTGTTAAGTAACCAAAATAAAATTAAAGCATAGCATACATTTTGTGAAATGACTATCCAAATTATTATTAGACAGGATAACACATTTACCTTTCCACTTCCAAATCTTTCAACTGTATCTACCCAGGCGGCTGCAGCCCCTGGTACACTGACAGCATGGCCATGATTTGTTGGGAAGAAATTATCCTCTGTGTAACCTTGTCTTTCCAGTAAATCTACTGTCAAATCATTTGGACATCGTCCACTGAATATAAAAAGGGTCGACATTGAACTGAAAATCGTACATGTATAACGACTACAGAGTGATGATAATGGAATGTTGAGTAAGAGTATATTTAAATCAGAAATGGCCACATAAGATAATGTGCTGAATACAGAATTATTTCCCACGAAGTCATGTTTAGCATAACAACTGATTTGCTCACCGAAAAGGTACATGTAATATTAAGTAAAAGCAAATCTTTTTCAAAAAACTTAAAGCCAGAATTTTAATATTTTTTTCTAAAAGTGATCGGACTTAAATAAAAAAAATCACCTGAATTTCATTTGAAAAACAAAAATTATTATTATTGTCCCTTTTATCCAGCTGGAGATTACAGATACACGTGTAATTTGATATAATGCATGCAAATTATTCGGTAGTATCTAGGGGAAAGTGCCAAAATCTTTTAAAAGATAAACATTTATTAAATGTGCAGTTACAACTTTTGGTCCTTTTAGACCTCTTGTTTACACACGGGTTGGGTCCATAATACCCATATAACATCCAAACTGTTTTTGTATGGCACAGATTTATTGTAAGTCAACGAGATCCATTAACGGACAACGGTAGCATCAACACATTTGGAATTGTTAAAGGTTTAAATGTAAACAACAACAATTCATTTGTAAATAAAAATATATTAGGACATACAAAACAGATTCAGATTTGATAAGGAAACAAGCTAATGGTGTATGTCTCCTGGTAAAGTTGTACAATTTGAATATTTGAATTATGTTAAGCCGTCTCATTTTGTCTGTTAATTTATTTTTTCTACATTTTTTTATCACTAAAAAACCACAAAACCACAGAAATAAAACTTATTGCCTCTAAGAGTTTTTTTTTTTTGTTAGTTTGAAATGTTACACACACGAGACCATATGGGAGAAGCTTAAAAAGCAAATACTTAACATTTTCTAAAATATTGTATTTTTCTAATAATTCGTGCCAATGGACGATAAGCTTATAATCACCAATAAAACACTCTCATCTTTCTAGACATCATTCATCGCGGTACGATCACACTGTTCTCTCCAACTGTTACTCGCTTGGCTTTTTATAGTCATATAAAACGAGTTTCTGACTATCATAATGTGAAGGGAATTATTGAATAAATGCATGGACTTATACACAACTAAGTTCTCGATGCAGATTTTAAACACTTATTTCGAACCTAAAACGTATGCGAATAATCGACAAAGAATTATTCATTTGGTAATTGTTGATCGCAAAACTTTTCCTGCTTATTAACTTTCGGTTTTATCGATTTTTATTTAAATTTTCCATGCGTTCTAATTTATCAATAAATAAACTTTGTCTTAACTTTTTTCCCTTTCAGAATCGGTTTATTCCACGTTTGTATACGTTTTCTTCCATAACGAGTTTTCCATTCGTACATGCGCTAGGTTTCATATTAAAGCTTAAGGTCAATTTGCGTACGAAAAAGCTGTCGGCGATTTAGAAAACGGGAAAGACAATAATTTAACAGCGGTACATTTCTGAAGATTTTGATAATATAAAGGATTTTCTTTAAACAGAAAAATTATGTACACGTGTTTTGTAGTAAAACTTAGCCATACTATTATATAAAACGTATTAATTTTTTTTGGTTAAATTTGAAGGATCGTATGACTTTTATACAAACAGATGTATCTATATTGGGTAGATGTAAAAATCAAAGAGCTGATAGCCCTGATGTGAAAGAAGATGCATAAAAGGTAACTTGAATTACCATGAAAGCAGCCAACACCAACCCAGCCTGCTCTGTCCCATTATTGCTTTCTATGTATTTTTGTCTTCCAAAAATAATATTCTTTAATAATACTCATGTCCCAACCAAAACTGACTATACTAAACATAAAAATCTACAAATACTGTTGATTCAAATTAAATTTTCTATAATTCCATACATTCGTCCCAGCATGGTCAACTTGATGCAAGCAATTATATCAGTAATTGATTAGATTTCACTCTTGAAAGTTTTTCTGTCAAAGGTAGCTAGTTCACGTTGGGTATTCCGAACTCCTTCATATAAAATAAAGCTGGCCACTATTATTTTAGTCAAGTGTGCTTAAAGTAGGGTTTAACACTAACATCAATCAGTTTATCATGAATTGTTATAGTTGATCACAGTTACTTGTTTTTTTCATTATAAACATATATTGAACAAGCATTCTGTGAGTATTGCATACATGTAGCAATACATAGTCCCCTACCGGTTAGAAATTCATTGTATTGGAACAAAATTCTAGCTTGATCTATAACTTGTCATGGTGTAAACTATATAACAAATATCAAGTCAATATCTTCAAGCATGACGAAAAAAAGGGTTGAAAACTGATTATTTAAGTGAATTTTTTAAGTCCAAGGACCATAACTCTGCACAAAATCATCAGACCGGAACAAAATTCGAACTTGATCTGTAACTTGTCATGATAAAACTATATATCAATTTTCAAACCAATATCTTCAAGCATGACTAAAAAAAGTGTAGAAAACTGATTATTTGAGTGAATTTTCTAAGTCAAAGGACCATAACTCTGTACAAAATCATCAGACCGGAACAAAATTCGAACTTGATCTGTAACTTGTAATGATAAAACAATACATCAAATATCAAATCAATATCTTAAAGCATGAAGAAAAAAGTGCTGAAAACTGATTTGCCGGACTGACGGACAGACAGACAGAGTGCAAACCTAAAGTCCCCTTCAACTTTGTTGGTAGGGGACTAATAAACAGCTGCGTCATGAGTGCATGATACGCCCGTCGCTTTTTCAAAGAACTTATCAATGTCATATTAGAAATTTAAAAACAAACTAAACAGAGGTTTTCTTAATAAATATAAACCAGTCACCAAAGTTTCACGAAAACTGCTCAAAGCACTTTAAAGATATTGTCTGAAAACTGGAAAATCACCCCTTTTTATGAATAAAATCCCACAACTCGGAAAAGTAAAATCGATAATTTATAAAAATCGAAAGGGAGCTTACGTCAATAGAAATAAACAATTCACCAAAGTTTCATGAAAACTGCTGAAAGCATTATTGAGTTATTGTCCGAAAACTGGAAAGTCCCCCTTTTTTTAATGAATAAAATCCCATAACTCGGAAACGTAAAATCAAAAATTTATAAAAATCGAAAAGGAGCTCATGACAATAGATATAAACAATTCATCAAAGTTTTTTGCAAATTGGTGAAAGCGTTTTGGGGTTATTGTCCGAAAACTGGAAAATCCCCCTTTTTAATGAATTAAACCACATAACTCAGAAACGTATAATCTAAAATTTATAAAAATCGAAAGGGAGCTCATGTCATTAATTATAAACAATTCACCAAAGTTTCTTGCAAATTGGTGAAAGCGTTTTTGAGTTATTGTCCGAAAACTGGAAAATCCCCCTTTTTTAAGGAATAAAACCCCCAAAACTCGGAAACGTAAAATCTTAAATTTATGAAAAATGAAAGGGAACTCATGTCAATAGATATAAACAATTCATCAAAGTTTCATGCAAATTGGTTAAAGCGTTTTTGAGTTATTGTCCGACATGTGGACGACGGACGGACAGACGGACGGACAACGGTATACCACAATACGTCCCGTAAACGGGTGTATAAAAATGCTAAATATATCCAATGATCTCCAAAGCAGATTTGTCTCAGGTCAGGGATTGGGTTTTGAGCACTTGTTAACATTTCAAACCCGTTCATTTTCTGTATGTGCTTGACCCAAATCGGGAACCACTTATTTGCTGCTGTTAGTCATATTTGTTTTTCATCTAAAATAATTACACAAAAGTACGAGGGAAGGAATGCCCTTTTCCGTCAGTCGTCATACGGTCATTTTCTGAAATGTTTCATGAAAAATAATACGTTTGACAGCAACTAATTACTAGTTCCGTACTCGAGGGTTGTAATGGGGGTACCTTCGGTAAAAAGCAGGACTATTTATTTTTTAAATCCCGTTTTTTATCACTTAAAACTTTGAAACGTAAGGCAATAGAGGTAATCATCGTTGGAGACATTCCGACAATGACTTGACATGAAAACTACGTACTTTCGTCGTTTCGATATGGATTCCGTCAACTGACATTAGTTCGTACATTGATATTTCTGTCAACTGACGGTGCATCGTTTGAAGTGTAAAGTACCAGCAGATTTAGATGTGCGCTTGACTCTTTATTATCGCAATAACATACTAAAATGTTCTAACGTTCGTTTTAAAAAACTCATGTTTTCTAAAACCGGAATATGACTGGATTGCGATAAAGATCTGAACACAGACGGAACAACTAAATCCGTGTATATTTGTCAAGCATCATTGAGTTGAAGTCGTACTCTCCGCGTAGATACTTGAAATTAACATAAAATGCATTGTATGAATAAATGAAAATTCTGTTTATCATTATTTTGAAACTTTCGGATGCACATTAAATTTCCCATTTGTGCACATGCGCAGATACGTAACCAACGTGATTTGGATTGCCCCGAATAATCCAGTTGTTTTATTCCGATTATGCCAACGAGAAACGGCAGTGGATGGAGGGCGCTGAATCATTCGAGTTATTTTCGGATTATTAATTAAATTAACGCATGCGTACTACCAAATCTTAGACTACTTTAAAAACATCCGGTTACAAATAAATAAATAACTTACATATAAGATGAGATGAAATCTAATAATTAACATAAATAAAAAGGTAGATATTAAAACATGAGAATTTATAACACTAACGATATTGATTGTTTTTTCAAGCCTAGCTGTACATTTGTTTTATAAAATGATGCAGATGCTATTTACAAACTTGAAACCGATCATGTTCTTATACGTTCGGGTATTTCACATCCAATCTTTTATGGTAATATTCTTTACAAAGCACAAAAATGTCAGTATTCACCTCAAAAGCTAACAAAACCTTTAAACAGACTTATTAAGAAGGGATATAAATATAGTTACGATACTGTTGTCAGGTCATTAAAGATTGCATATTTTGGCTTTAATATTGATTCACTTATAGGGTCTTTACATCGGAATTAAACATATTTATTTTAAAACCAGTTGTTGGCATGACACGGGTTATGCTCTTCTCGTATATTTTATGATGGTATAATACTATACCCCTAACAGGAGGGATTGTGCCTGATATTCATATGATGAAGACATAACCTTTCAATCAGTTAAATTGAGGTCTGGAGCTTGCATGTCAGTAACTGCTAGTAGTCTGCTGTTATTCACGTATTATTGTCATTTTGTTTGTTTTCTTTTGTTTCCTGTTCTGACATCGGACTCGGACTTCTCTTAAACTGAGTTTTACTGTGCGTACTGTTGTACGTTTGTTTTTCTACATTGGCTAGATGTATAGGGGAGGGTTGAGATCTCAAAAAACATGTTTAACCCCGCCGCATTTTGCATCTGTCCCAAGTCAGGAGCCTCTGGCCTTTGTTAGTCTTGTATCATTTTTAATTTTAGTTTCTTATGTATAATTTGAAGTTTAGTATGACGTCCATTATCACTGAACTAGTATACATATTTGTTAAGGGGCCAGCTGAAGGACGCTGCAGTGAAGACCCATTGTTGGCCTTCAGCTGTTGTCTGCTCTATGGTCTGGTTGTTGTCACTTTGACACATTCCCCATTTCCATTCTCAATTTTATGTGTAAACATCGGTGTCAAGATATGGCACGGAAGTTATGAAATTGTAAAGCACAGAAAGGGATACGACAACACTCCTGGTGATGGTTCAATGATTTTACAGCTGGCAGTATAGGATTTCAAAAGACTTCAAAGTCATCTTCCACCAAAAAGTACCGCGAAATCTCAGATTATGTGATTTTTGCTCTATTAAAGATATAGATGATGAATTTCATTTCTTTTTTCATTGCGAAATAAATAAAAATTTAAGAAATAATTACTTGTCTGAAATTGTTTCTTAAAATATTGACTTTATGAGTTTCACTAACAAAAAAACTACAATATATACTCAATCCAACAAATTTTCAACAAGTACAAATTCTAGGTTCCTTTTTAAAACAGTCAATGGAACTGAGGACAAGGGACTCTCGATTAACAGGTGGTTATAAGATTTGTTGTATATATGTTGTAATTTGTATTTTGTTTTGTCACAAACATATTCAATTTGTTTATAAGACAATAAAGATTATTTATACAATATTGTTTATTATAGCAAATAATTAAGCGATAGTATATTGCAGATGTAGATTACATTGTACAAATGTAAACCATATCAAAACATGTAACTTCAAATTCCACTAAAATGCTTAAAAAATGGTTAAATTAGTAAAATGAAATATAACAATAAGATGTTGTGATAAAACAATTATCATAATCATGGCTAGTTAGACAATTTGACGAAATCCATACGGCATACATTATAACTTTATGATTGACGCGGCTGTGCAGATTTCGATGTAGATTTATTCTCACACATGCATATGGTTGATGTAACCTGATTTACTGCATGCTTTCCCATATGTTAACACGTGTCATTCAAATGATTTTAGTCGGTATAGATATACCAGCAAAACCTTTCTTAACTCATTTATGTGATCGTGATGAAGCAAGTATGTATTACTTTAATAATGGCTATATGTTGAACGTCATGCAGACATATATATTTCCATCAATTATATATAATCAAAAAGAAGTTGGTGGGTATAATAGCTACTAATTATTGTTATACAGATCAGTTATCAAAATTGAAAGGTTACTACTTGAGCTAGAATTTTGTATCAATTTGCATGATTGTGATTTTTTTAAACGTCTAACGAGAACAATTTATGCAATTATATAGTCAGGGACAATCTATAACATGGTTTGAAAGAGAATAATCAGATAAGACTGACGAAATGCTGGAGAGAGTCATATACCGTTTGCTGCTCACGAGTAGGTTGACTATTATGAAATATCTGTTACACAAATTACTAAGTTTTTTTTTCTTCAAATTGTCGTATTAATCATAATCCCTTCCTCTTTTCCTCGAATGTGACATACCGAATTAGACTTATCACCGGGTTTATACTTACACTAACAACACGACGGGTGCTACTTGTGGAGCAAGATTTGCATACCCTTCCTGAGCACTTGATATCACCACCGGTTTTTGGCTGGGTTCATGTTCCTCAGTCTTTAGTTTTCTATGTTGTGTTTTGTATACTGTTGTTTGTCTTTTGATGGGTTTTCGTATTTTGTCATGGCATTATCAGTTGTTTGTTTTTGCATTATGACTATGAATATCCCTTTGGTATGTTTCGCCTCTCTTTTGCCTTCCAAAGACTGCACATGTGTTTGAAGGAATTTTAAATGGGTGCGAATATAGGCATATGTTCGCTACAGACACATATTATCGGTTTACAATTCCTCATTCTGACCATATAAGGATGTGTATTTTTACGTGCAAAACAGTTGAAGAAACAAACCAACCCTGCCGCAGTTTAAAAATAGTTTTATATAAATACCCCGTCATCTCCAGAAAAGCAGAATTTTTTATAGTTTTCAGCAGCAATAATTTGGCATGCAGTCATATGTGTAGTTTAGCAACAAACCTTCCATTTAGTCCTTTAACTGTTTTTGATTTGGAATCGTAAAACAAACAGAAAGCATCGCCACCAATACCAGTTGAACAGGGCTCTGTCACATTTAGTGCTGCGGCAACTGCAACAGCAGCATCAGCAGCATTCCCTCCTGATTTCAAAATATCTTAAAAAGATTGTCTACATACAGTATAGGGTAAATCATACAACTCTACTTAGAGTATATGGTAAACATACAGTATTTGGTAAAACACAGTATATGGTAAATAATAAAGAATTTAAAAGCAAAACTGTTAACCATCTTTATATTCAATGTTACGTAACATATATGTATGACTCGGAGGTACGATCGGGATGCTAACGTGCGATCGTTGCGTTGAAGTGCGGTTGTCATGCTCAAGTGCGATTATCAAGCTGAAGTGCGATGGTCTGTGCCGAAGTGTGATGTTTCCTTTCGCTGATGTGCGGTGGTCTATAGCTATATATAACGCGTAATGGCTGGTTTAAAATCTGCAGGTGTAGATTACCATGCAGGTCCCAGCTGTAAATTGTTGTAGCTTCATAGCAAGTCCATTTATATATGCATTAAATTTTTACGAAAAATGGCGGAAAAATTAAATCTCCCTCGATAACCTCTCAATTATATGTTCATATCAAGGTAAACAACTTTGTGGGTACAACCTGTACAAATATCTAGTACATAAAAGAGATAAGAATCACATAAATACTTCTTTGTTCCTTTCACGCAAAGAATGTACAATTACATTTTCCCAGTGAATATGTTTAAATGAAAGTTAAAACTTTCGAAGAACACCGATAGTGCTACGCAAGCAGTTGTACACATGACATGTCAATAATTAGGACGTCGTATGTTTACACAGCCCACATGAAGCAAGCGTGGTTCTTAAAAAAAAATACCTATTCCAATTTGAGATGCCAACGGCTGACTGGAAGCAACACATCCACTGGAACAAATCACTGGGGATCGTCGAGAATGGAATGGAAGATTGTTTGACATCCTTCTGCAATAGGATAAGCCATAAAATGTGACAATGAGGCTCGTTTAGGGAAATTAAAAATGAGGCAACTGAACAGAGATTACTGATAAGCCAATTTTTCTTCGTTTGACAGTTTGGCATGTATAAAGTCTATAAATGTACAGGCCACGCCGCTATATAAGTTTGTATTCTAGGCCAATTATACATTCTCCGCACACAGATCGTCGTGTGGATTTTTCTAATATTTTTTTTCTTGTCTTTATGTTTTATTCCATATTAATTACGATGATTGGAATAAAAAGTGTGGAGTATTAGTTAGTTAAACCAAGTTAAAATCTAACAAGTCCTTATAGATATATATAAACAGAGATAATAAAAAAAATATATTAGAGAATGAGATAGCAAACCAAAAAAAAAAAAAACAACAACAAAAAAAAAAAAAAAAAATGGGAAGAAGACATCTTATTTTATTATCTAATTATTTTTTCAAATTTTTATATAGTAACTATGTGGTCATGAACAATAGAAACTTGTCATCATAATTTTGCTTCTAAATCACGCTGTGCCTCAATAAGTTTTGAAAATCTAACAGATATAATTGCATGGACCAAACTCAGAGTTGTATATCAAATGTATATTATATAAAAAATATCGCGTAGGCTGGTCCTGCTTATTCATAACTTTAAACTGAAACTTAAGACAACAGGGCTTCCGGTTATAAAACTTTACTCAGTACTCGGAGCACAAAATTTGATGCTCGAAAAACCAAATCCAGTTACTGTAATTTGATTGGTTGATATTTGAGTCTGAGAACGATCTTCGTACTCGAATTGTTTATGACCGCAAGGCCAGATCATTTCAACTTGTATATCTCAAAAATAATTACGATCATCATATAATAAGCTCGTTCGTAATGTTGCACGAATAAAAAAGACAACATCGGACTTATTACCACTTCTCTGCATAGGGCATTAAAATACTTAAATTAGTGCCATGCAACCCATAGAAAAACATTTTTGCAACCCTATCCCCCAAATATTATTTGAGCAAGACCAAGATCACTAATTTGGATTGAATGTCCCTTGCTGACTAATTTTGTGTTCTAAAGAGTGTGAAGCTCTTCTGTAAACTGGACATTCGATCACAAGAATTGTTTAAAGATTCAAGGTTCCTTCGTTTTTGTCTCAGTCACGAAATCAAAACACTGCCAGAAGAAGACGAAACCTAGTGAAATTTGATGTCAGAAATCTTACATAATCATATTCTTAAGTTAGACATTTAAAATGTTATTAAATTTCGAACTTAACTCAAAATAAACATTTCACATCTTGATAATTTGACTTTATTTCAAAATCTAGCCTTTTTTCAATCCGATAGTTTGGTTATTTTTAAGTCAAAATTTCTGTCTTATTGACGAATACGTCACATCACATTTCATTCATATAGAAAGCCCTTCATGTTGTTATTGTTGTTTTTTTTGGGGAAACCAGACCGACTTGTACAGTAGTCTCCCGATGTCTGGTTGCTGAAGTATACCCGGTATATAGGGTACACTTTCAGTTCTCAATTATTTTTTTACCCCACTATGATTAATGAAATGGCGTTAAAGTATTATATAAAGAGCGTTGTCCTAAAACTTTTGTCAAAGTGATGTGAGAAAATTTGTACAACCTCAAGTCTTTGAATAGATCGGAACGTTGATGTGTGAAGTGAACTTTGAAATCTTAATTTATCACTTTCAGGTATGATCATTAATTTAAAGCGATCCAGCGATCCAGCGATCCATCTGATCCAATCTGTAAGAATTTGAGGAAAAAAATGCTCTTGCTTTATCCATTTTTACTTGACCGGCTGCATTTTTTGTTGTATGTATAAAATAGCAGATGTGTCTACAGGATGTCTGATTATACAAAAAAGTCAACTTAAAAGCTTTAAAAAAATCCAGAACTAAAATACGATTCCTGAGATTCCAAGAATAGTCGAAGCATTCATAAAACTTGGTAAGTATTGAATGGAAGTCAAACTGTTTGTCAGTATTTTTGCTTATAGAATTCCATTGCCAATCTGTATAAAATTAATCAATAATTATAATTGTAAGAGATGAAATCATATATCTCAAAGGGAGATTATTTATTTGATAAACTGTTCGCATTTTGTACAAATTCTCTTCGAACCAAGCGTTTACATTTTGTAACTGTTACCTTTAAGTTAATAAACCATTTCGCCAGTCTATTTGAAACTTAGTAAGCAGAGATACTGAACTAAGAAAGAATATGTATCAAACTTAGTAAGAATGTGTATCAAACTTAGTAAGAATGTGTATCAAACTTAGATAGAATATGTATCAAACTTAGTAAGAATGTGTATCAAACTTAGTAAGAATGTGTATCAAACTTAGATAGAATATGTATCAAACTTAGTAAGAATATGTATCAAACTTAGTAAAAATATGTAATAAACTTTGTAAAATATGTATCAAACTTTGTAAGAAAATGTATTAAACTTAGGTAGAATGTATATCAAACTTAGTAAGAATATGTATCAAACCAGTAAGAATATGTATCAACCCAGTAAGAATATGTATCAAACCCGGTAAGAATATGTATCAAACCCGGTAAGAATATGTATCAAACTTTGTAAGAATATGTATCAAACCAGTAAGAATATGTATCAACCCAGTAAGAATATGTATCAAACCCGGTAAGAATATGTATCAAACCCGGTAAGAATATGTATCAAACCCGGTAAGAATATGTATCAAACTTTGTAAGAATATGTATCAAACCAGTAAGAATATGTATCAAACCAGTAAGAATATGTATCAACCCAGTAAGAATATGTATCAACCCAGTAAGAATATGTATCAAACCCGGTAAGAATATGTATCAAACCCGGTAAGAATATGTATCAAACTTAGTAAGAATATGTATCAAACTTAGTAAGAATATGTATCAAACTTAGCAAGATTTTGTATCAAACTTTATAGGAATATGTCTCAAACTTAGTAAGAGTATGTATCAAACTTAGTAAGAGTATGTATCAAACTTTGTAAGAATATGTATCAAACTTTGTAAGAATATGTATAAAACTTAGTAAGAACTGTTCTGCTGTTGCAACTAATTTCATTTATATAATTAATGAAAATATTCATCTAAATAAGACATTAGCATTTTGTTCTCGAGGCAGCTCGCAATCTAATTGGAAAAAAAGAAGTTCCGGAATAAGAAAGTGATATCAAAATCACTTTGATAATTTAAAATGCTGCTTTTGCATTGTAAAGTACAATTATGGAATTAAAAAAAAAACATCTGTTTTTTTTTATACCCTGCTGTGCTTATGATGGAACTGACGTCCGTTCCTTAAAGCAATTTCATTTTGCAGCGTAGGAAAAAAATATAAATGCACTTTTTTTATCTGTAATAAGGTTTTATGTGCTACATTGTGCAGCGTTGACCTAAACATTCATGGTATACACGGGATGGTCTCATCTGGAATTGTCATAAAAACTTATTACCAATCGGATATTAACACTGTTATCGTGTTAAAAAATATGAGTCCTTCACAGAATTGAAATTGTGAATAAAATTTCCAACTGATTACGTCAATCAGTATTCAACAAATTAGTCGTCTGATGCACACAAAAGTCACCATATCCCAAGGACAATGACACTGAGCATGTATTAATGGATTTTTTTTCTTAACGTCTAGAAACATATTCTAATCAAATAGCATGGAATAAAAAAAATAAAAAATAAACCAATGGTTATACATTTAAAGTAAGATTATCAGACTCTGGTTGTTGTTTTTTTACTTCATGTCCAGTGCCAAATAGTTCATACATACTCAGGACGAGAAAATTGTACATGTAACAAAAAATCCTTAAGTAACCAAGATGACCTGCCACAGCCACGTGTATGTTGAATAGTTTATTGTAAGGATACACATTCGTCTGGCAGGGTTAACTGACCTCATTTTCATGGCTTATTTATCAACTTTAAGTTATAGAGATAAGGCCAGGATCTCATTTACTATAAATAATAGGTAAATTATGATAAGTGGCATTAAGAATGTTTATTAGTGATATTTGGTACATGTATACTAGTATGGTTGATAGTGGGACGTTTCCGTTTGACAAGATACCACTGACACTGACCTTATTTTCATGTCTAAATGATAAACATTTCGTGATTTATAATTTAGATTTGTATGATCTCTAATATTATAAGTAATAGGGCAACATTTGGTGATGGTTGTTAGGTGGATATATGACCGTCTCACAGAATCACCTGATCACGCCCTAATTTTCTTTGCGAAGTGACCAAAAAAATATGAAAACAACACGTTACAATTAAAATTGTATGCGTCCTAGCGCTTTTCTGGGTTTACCTTCATCAGGAACGCTCTTGAAAACCGGAATATTTGAAAGCAATGGATGATTAAGAACCGAAACAGTTGAAGAGCTATATGACCAAAAAGGACCTAAAATAGCCAAATCAATCTAAGGTCAAATTTGCCTGAGAGAGTTGACAAGCGCTAGGTTTCCTTATTAATTTCAAACTCTCTTATTCTTTAACAGTTTAACGGGTATATATAAAGATATGAAGATATGGTATGATTGCCAATGAGATATATCTCCATCAGAGACCAGATGACGTAGATGTTAGCAACTATAAGTCACCGTTCGGCCTTCAACAATGAGTAAAACCAATATCTCCACTTGAGCGATATAAAAATAAGGAGATGTAGTATGATTGCCAACGAGACAACTACCCACCAGAGTTCGAATGACGAAGATAACAGGAAGTATAGGTTACCGTACGGATTTAACAATGAGAACAACCCATACCGTACGAATATAGTCCCTAGTGTGAACAGTGTATAACTTGCATTTTTTGTTTGCTACACTTTCCCAATTTATTTCTTGATATTTTATGCATGAAATATTAAGTAAGGGGATGAAATTACATGTTAAAAAAATTTGGGTGCTGAATCTTTATGTTAAGTAGTGATTTGGTCCAGTTAAAAAAGGTCAAAAATTAGAATGTCTGAA